GAGCAAAATATGGGATTGAGCTTTTAATCTCCCACTCACTGAATCGGAAGTTTAGACTGGCCACGCTGTGCAGCCTGGAGAACAAAGAATTGGGGGTGGGGTGGGGGGGTGGAATCTTGTGCCAGTGCTTCAAAACCGCAAATAAGATCACTTGGGTAACTACAGACTAAAACTGTGGTCAGGTAAAAGTATGGAAATAATGATGTACAATTGAGTCAAAAGAGAATAAAATGGTGGTAGCATAGTTAATGCGAAGTGTCATGATTTCAAAGAAAAGTTTTATTAAATAATATATTTTAAAGGTATTGCAGATTTAATTATAGTAATCAATTGAGATCGCTTAAACTTGTAAGTTGATGTAGTTCTGTGTTTAATATGATTCTTAAGGCTTTCAACTGTGTTGTCTGGAGATCATCAAAACGGAGGTCAATGAAATGGAGACTAATCAGCAATTCGATGTTGATGCAATAAACAAGTTTATTGTAAAGGAATCATTTAGTAAAACAGACTTTTTTTTTTTACAGAATTTGATACCACAATCCTAGCTTTTAATGCAAGTAGAAATGCTTTCTAAAGTTGATGAAAGCTGGGAAAATTAACCCTTTTAAAATCTCAGTCTGGTGTAATGCCTTTTGCTGAAAACTCCCATATAAAGCAGTGTCTGAACTAGCTACTGATAGCTTTAGGGAGACTAAAGGTTTGGTATTTATGTGCTGTAGCATTCCCTCCATGCTCATCCCTCTGAAGAGATCCTCCATGTTTTTCTTTTTATTGGTTCTTGAGGCTTGTTTGGGGAAAAAACAGGTGTCTGTAAGGGGGAGAGCAAATCTTGAGTTTAACCCAGGAAAGGGTGTTTTGTCTTTGGTGCAGATTTGATTCAGCTTGGCTCCTTGCTTTGATGCTTCAGCTGTTATTATTGTAAAGCTTCCTGGTATCTGCAAAAACCTGATAAGTATTCATAACATTGATCTGTGGTTCCAGTAAATGATCTGGAAGTAGAATTTAGGGAGGTAACATTTCTTTGGGAATGGTCTATATTGTCCTACTGCAAACTTTTTGTAAAGTGTCAAATTTATTTGTTCATAATGTAGAAACTTTGGACTACATTCCAGCTTTTGAGTGGGCAGTTTCTACTTAGGGCCACCATCCATTAGCTGACGTTAGTCAGTTTAATAATAGTCAGCTGCAGTTTTAATAAAGTTTTTTTACACAAATTGCCTGCTCAGCTGCTAAGGGGTGTGGGGAGTTACTAGACAAACAGCAATGTATATTTGCCTTGGAATATCGTTGAGAACATACTTTGCTATCAAGGTAGTAGATAGCCAGATATTGTAGAATGTGCTCTTTTTTTTTTACTGCCTTTTGCTGATCTTTAGTTAATGCAGTTTTCACATTTCTTGTAAAGGAGCCAGCCAAATTAATACACTGATACATTTATTTTGAAATTCCAGGTTTAAATTTTATTGCAACTCTTTGGTCCATTTTCTCCTCTGTACAGTATTGCCTGATTTTTGCACTTTTTTCCTCCATTCAAGGTATCGCTTGGCTTGGCTTGTATCTCGGTGCATTAATTTGATTTCCTTTGTAGCAGTGTGGAAGATTTTCTGTTTGTGTTCCTGAATGAAAAGGAAACATTTTGCTTAATTGAGGCCCAGAGCTCAAACATGGATGCTTCTGGAGAGACGTTGAAAGGACCATGAGTAAATTTATGACTCTTTTCAGAAGCCTTTCTGAAAAGGCCATTCCTTTCTGCGTATTCATTGATGTTGCCTTTATCTTTTGCTCATTTATCTCAGTGTCATTATTGGGCAGTGTAAGGTGATTTTTGTGACTGCGGACTTTCATTCACTGGTTTATTGTTTATAGAGAATTTGAAAAATTGTGAAGCTGATGTGTTTGCTTAATATATTTTCTTTATCTGTTAATTGAAAGCTCTGTTCTACAGTACACACATGACATAGAGAACTTAAGAGACATCGTCAGTATGTCCAATTTAATCCGAGGAATCAATATTTATGTGAGAGTTTATTATAGTGTTTTTATTTTGAATACAAATCTACGAATAATCTGTAGATTTTTTTTTTTTGACCATCCAACTTTGGTCATTCATAAGCCAGTTTTCAAAAAACGCTTTGGTCCTTCTTGAAAGTATTAGTTTTTTATCCTTCATACTGTATGCTTCATTCTAAGATAGTGTGTGATACAATTGCTGACCAAAAAATGGCAGTGAACAAACTGACGTGAAGCTGTCTCACTCTTCAAAGGCATGGGAATGTACTACTACTTCTTTTTTTAATTCCAGTAAATGTGGACTAATGGCCCACTAAATTAGGATTTCCATTCCTTATCTAGGAGATCATTAATGCATCCATGAGTAGTTTCATAGATGTCAATAATGGTGGAGGAGCTGGACTAATGTAAAGGTCCGCAGAGTGGTGAGGATAGCTAATGGGTTTTAATTTTTTTTCTTACATGGGATTTACTCCATTCAGGTTGTTCTGTGTATGTTCTATGCATGTTCCTCATATAGGGAGGGAACAAATTTTTTCTTCCCTTGAGTGGCTATGGGATAATCCTACAAAGCTGTCTTTGCACAAGAGCATATTGTTTCTAGAATCAGATGAAGAAGAGGAATTGAGGAAAGGAAAAGTTTTTGGCACTCGATCAGTGGTGAAATACTTCTAGTAAATGTGAGGGGAGAATAGCATGTCAAATGTACTCACTTTTTTCCATTCCAGTTTCGTATTAGTAGCAGAGAATTAATTTTGACCAGTAGAGTCCTTTTTTGTTTGAACAAAATATTTGGAAAGCCATCCTCTCTGGTTACATGTTCAGAAACATAAGTAATGTGGTGTTCCGTAATGCTAATGAAACCTTAGCAGCAAATGAGAGCTTTGTGGACTAAAGAGCCTAAGTAGGACAGCAGAGGCTTTGTTCTGCTGTGCACTGAAGGAAGTCAGTTCTTCTTAATGGTATTGGATGTTGGCTCCATGCCAAAAGCACCGTTTGGAAACGTCTTTGGGATGCCAGGTTAATGTTGTCAGAGTAATTACAAAAATGAGTGGAATATAAGAAAGAAAGGCTTCTTGAGATTGATGACGTATTTTTATGCCTATATGCAACAGTGGTTTGACACTACAGTATGGTAACCGTCTCCCTCTTCCCACACACAAACAATGCATATGCAACTTTTCTCAAAACAATAGCAGAAGTGTCACTTTATTTGACAAAAGGTATTTAGTGTGGAAATGTCCAGTTGGTGTAAAGTGGGCGCATCAGAACAGTATGAGATACAGGCCGTGGTTTCCCAAATATATTAAAATCTTGTCTTTAGTCCCTCGCTGTCTCTTGGCTGTTTATATGGTTCTCTGGTGAAACAGATCAAGGAAAGTGGTTGTGTTTTTGGTGGAGAGAGTGATGCGGAGGCAGGAGCACGTGGCTGGTAGTGGTACAGCATGGGTGCTTCTGGTTGTTAGTACTCACATGCCATTGGATTGAAGTGTTCAAGGCACTAACAGCCACCATGGTTGTTAGTCCATGGTGTAGGGTACTAAGAACCGCAAGGCAAGATTTGAGAGCAACCTTAATCCCGTTTATGTTCTTTTTTATTATTCTTGTTGGTTGTATATAGTTGTGTTGTCTTGGTATCTCTTTTAGTGAATACATTTTCCTTGAGTCTTAAGCCTTGCAGTATTTTATGGCATTTTTTGATTTAACTTCAGATAATCCTACTGCATGTTGAAATTGAACTTAAATTGCTAATACTAAAGGTCAACATAATTCATTAGGTTCAGGCAAGTTACTGAATCTGCAAGACGCAGCTTCTGATAAACACCCCTCAGTTTTTTGTATAAGTTAAATAAACTTTGCCTTTAAGTGCTTTCTTTAGCTTTTTTTTCTTTTTCTACTTTTTATTTTTTAAATTTACTGTGAAGTGTATTTGGATTTGGCATATACAGGACACAAACTTTGATGCTGCAGTTGCTTGTCTTTTTGGATTACTGAGTAACTGTTAAGAAAAAATGACTGTAAATGCTGTTGTAAGCTGAAAATCCTTGATTTTTCCACTGTGGCAGATTTTTTAGCATAAAATACAAATATGTGCTGGACTAAAAATATTTGCTAGGCTGTATTTTGTACCTTTATTCGTTCCTGCCTAATTCCTAACCTCCATATTTCCACTTGTTTTTTGAATTTTCAACTTGTCCTAATTAGTGTATCCTCCATCTATTGATCAGTACAGAATACAGTGAAAGATTGTTTTGAAGGTGATTTAATGTATTAAAAATCCCCCAACTTTTTTTGGAAGCGTGGTTTATTTTTGACTTTCTCTTCTTTGTTTTGTGCCTTTGCTTTGCTATAACTTTCTTAACGGCTAAGGACAGGTTTGCTTTCTTTGGAATCTCCAGCTAGAGCTGATCATGAACTGTGTATACAGATTTGCTTTAATAAATGTTTTTCATCTGCAGACTACACCCAACTTCGTCATGCAGCTATAATTTATATTGTTTTTCTTTTCAGTGGGTAGTCATAAGAGTGGAAGTAATTTTTTGTATCCAATGAAATTACAACTACTTGTGTTTTAAAACTGCCAGACACATCTCTTGTTGAACAGTCTCTTATTTACCTAATACTGATCTTTGGTTATGTCTTTGTTATCTTGGTGGAAAAGATCCACTTTTGAATTAAAGGATTTTTAGGGGAAAAAAAGACATACTGCATTGTGAAAGTGATCAAAGACTGCATACAACTTAAAATGCAAGTATTAGAGCTGTTCTTACATAAAGAGGTAGATCTGTGCCTGCACATACAGCTTACTGTTCTGGTATATGGCTGGTGTATGTATATACACCCATCACTGATTTATAACTTGAATAACTTCTATCCAAGTAGCAAGCGTTCCCTCACAGCACAACTCATAAATAAATTACATGTCGTTTCTGGTACTGCTGTGATTCATAACTAATTCTGGGTATTTTTGTTTCCTTTTGTTTTCAAAGGATCAGTTTGATAACTTGGACAAGCATACGCAGTGGGGCATTGACTTCTTGGAGAAATACGCAAAATTTGTAAAAGAAAGGATAGAAATTGAGCAAAACTATGCAAAACAACTGAGGTAAGGATTTTTTCTTTCTCTTTCTAAAAGAATCTTAACGGTTACTTAAAATCACCGTATCAGATGATGGGCAAGTATGTAATGTTGTGATTAATGACCATTTTTCATTTACAGAGTGAATTAGATCACTAGTTCTTTTCACGGCAGACAAGTTTTTCTTTACCAGTCCAAACCAGAAAATTATCTTCGGGTGTGCGCTTATTTCCTTGCTTGTTTTTGCCTTCTTCCCTCCCTCTCTTCCCATCCACACTTCAAATCTTTGAACTAAAAAGGTTTAAAACTTAAAATTTAAGATTCAAGACAAAACCATAGTAATATTTTGCCACTGACTGTCAGCATTTTTGTTGCAAAGTGCATTATCCATATCTACATTTTTGTGTGTGTGTGTGTGCAACCAACTTCAAGCCTCTGCTACTAATTAATTTCTCATGTTGAATTGGCAAGAGCTACACTACATTGTGTTAAGAAATCTGATTTAAATCATTGAGTAGAACCTGAGAAAGCAGCAGATCTTCCTGTCCTTAAAGCACACCCTTTCCGTAGCTGGTCTTGTACCTTTGGGTGAGACTGTAACCCAACCACCCTTTGTCTTACCTCTCCAGTTTACTTTCTGTTGGTGCCAAGTGAAACATCTTTTAGGTCCAGTAGGAATTTCCCCTCAGGGATTGTACAAGAAGAGTAGCAGCAATGAAATGGCAGAGAAGCACATTCTTCACAAGAAAGTAGGACTGATTTTTACCAAAAAGTGCGCACGGTGCTTGAAGAACAAGGTTTAAAATAAGACACTTCTGTGAACTGGGCCTTCACCGTAATCTTTGCTGTCTTGAATTCCTTTGGGGATTCAGCTGAAGCTGCTGCCTAGCCCTTATCAGACTGAAATTGATAGCAGCTTCTCTCCTGTGGTGTCTTTGATCATCTCATCATTGGCAAACTAGATTGTCACCAGATACAGAGTTGAGGAATCCTTCCTCATAAATGCAGTAATGAGGTTCACAACTGAGGGTATGGATGTTCTCTGTCTAGGCTGCTTGTTTCCTTTTTGGTTTCTTATACCACTTTTCCAAAGCTGGTGTAGAACAACTTCAGGAAGCAAAGGAAAGTTTGAAGCATGCACAGCACCAGTTCACAGCCCAGTTTTGATTTGTTTTCAGTTGTCTGTTTAAAAATGGAAATGTGTTCTATTTGCACGAATCTGTCCAGATCTTTTCCTTAAATAGTATGAAAAAAATGTCATTTTGCTTAATTATATTTAAAGGTTCATTCCACAGCTAGCAAGATGAGACACCACATTATTACTTCAGGATTTGACTAAAAATAGGAAATCTTTGTTCAGCATTTTACTGTCTTGGGTAAAACTATTGATTTTTCTCAAAGTGTCTTTCAAAAAGGAAGGAGTTATGTCAAGTACCCCTTCTGTCAGATGACTGGACTGACTGTCCATGTGCAGTAAGTATGACAGTTTTGGGAAGCACAGGTCTTGCTGCACACCTGTTGTACAGTGCATGCATGCACTTCCTGCCTGCTGCCAACAAGGGTCTGGGCAACACACACACGAGAGGGTGACTGTTTTTCTGCCAGTAGACCAGTTCATGAAGCTACTCTTCGATATTCTTGCCTGTGTATTCCTTGGGGGAGAATTGATTGTTAGTAGTGAACTGTCTTGTGGTAACAACTTGATTTCAGTCATCATTGCTCTTGAGGACACTCACTGTTTTTAACAATGTAAAACAGTCATGAGGCCCCAGGGGAGATTGAGATCAAGCAAAATTTTCATCTCCAGAAGAGTTAGCCATCCTGCAGCTTGCTCGTGAGAAGTTCTGAGAGAGAAGATCTTGGGGATGGACTATGGTTCTAGTGAATTTTAATGCTGGCAGCATGTGGCCTGTGAGATAGATACTAATATCTCTGATAGACATTTCTGGTTTATCATTGTTTTTTCCTTTTGTAATGAAATACAATCTGAAAAATAGTGTGTTGAGAATCTCTTAATAATGAACTTTATAACTGAGGTTTATTATGCCCTTGTTTAGTAGATCGTATGGTGAGTGGTCACCTCTTGGTAGTTGTACGGCTCTCTTAGTACTTGGATGGGAGACCAAGAAAAAACAAGTTTAACGAGGGAGATAATGCTAGTGATGTATGGTGGTATTTTTTTTCTGTCTTGGTTTCAGTGTGGGCTGTGAACGTTCTGTTGAGATTGTTGATGGATCTTACTCTTACAGACTTAAACCCAAGGATGAAAACTTGAGTGACTTTTTCATAACAGTTTTCACAAATTAGAGTCCGTGTCCTGGCAGAAATTCATATTCATTTTGTCTATACCCTTGCATTTTGATAAACTTTTTTTTTATATACTGTCACAACTTAGTGATGAGACTTTCCCAGGTGCAACAGCTGTTCTGAGTCTTCTAGGAGATGACAAGTGATGCATGTACAGCATATGAGGAACTGTTTGAGTGAACTCACTATATTCTTACTCTAGGCAGTTATTGCAGATTATGGTCGCTGAGCAATTCCAGAAATGATAACTTGAGAGAATCCTGCCCAAATGCTGTATTTTAGGTTGCAAGTCATTCCTTGCTATTCTTCTTTGATAGGCGGTTCTTGATACTAAGAAAAAGTATAAGAAAAATTGAAACCACTGAGGAATCCTCAAATGTCTACAGAGGGGAAAAAAAAAACCCCACCTGTCTAGAGAGCTTGTCTTGTCTTTGTCTGCAACATACTTTGTTCTGAAAAAAAGCAAGTATAATTTCATTTTTTTGAACTAACTTAAAGGAAAATCTTAGGTTTTGTGTAGCTCAGGTCTCAACTAACATATTGTGGTACCCCAAGGATTGTGAAGGTTATTATAGGCCGTTACTGAGTTACGGGGATGTGAATCAGGACAAACATATTGCAATATACATTGTAGATTAACAAATTTCATTTTAATTATATGACTGTTTAATTTGTTCTTATTTTATAATTGGGAAAAATTAGATTTCGGAGGTGCCAAATTACTGGACTCTTGGCTGAATTTTGTAATTGAATTCTCAGATGCTGTTTTTGATCAGCATTGTTGCTTAAAAGGGGCAAGGTGAAGGCCTGTTTCGTTTACTTCCACATCATCACACACAAAGTAATTCTGGAGGTTCACTCCCTTTTTGTTCTGTCTGAAGCATTATGACACTTGAGAAGATAGAGGAGTTCCACTTCCTGTGATGTTAGGCAGTAATACAAGTTATACCTGCAGTTATAGATGAAACTACCGTGTGGAATAAGATTTCTGAATTTGGTCAGCTTCTCTGTTGTCAGTTTAAAGAAAATAGCGATGATTGTTCTTGAACTACTTGAGTGTTTCCCTTTAAAATTGTACGTTGTGATCTCTGGAGATGTCTAGTTAATCTAAGCAAATGTATTTTTCATGTTCTTTCTGCATACTATTGTGTATAAGTGGTTTTTGTTCTAAATACAATATTAATATATGCATATGTCTAGTCAAATTGAGACATAGTTAACCACATTTTTATATGCAGAATCTTGGAAATGTTATTTAAAATGGGTGTAAGCTCAAATGTGAAGTTGGGGACACAAATTATCACCATATGTGTTCATTTCTCAAATCTCTCTTCCTTTGATCGGAGCCAAGAATTTACGCTGTTGATTATTACACAAGTATGAATGTGGCAGGTTCTTCTATAGTGATGTTTCTGCAAGCCAAAACATACAAATTCTTAACGGTTCCAAGGACATTTAGCTTTGTAAACTCGAATTCCATGTTACAATTTTTTAAGATTCATTTCTTCAGTTAAATTTTTTTCTGATGACATGTTATTAACTACAGTTCATTGTCATTTTCACCCAGTCCATAATATTGATATGCAATACTGAAGCCATCAGAGCCCTATTGAAAGTATTACTTCACGTATAAATATGAAATGCCTTTAAGTACTTACTGCATTTTTTTAGTAACTTACGAAAACAGACTTCAGAGTTTGTTCCCAGGCTCGTTTGTAATGTGATGTAGAGGCTGTAGAGGTTTAGTATAAGCAGATGCCACAGTACCTGAGCTGCTACCTTAATACAAATTCTACCATATTGATGCTGCTGCTCGTGTTCTTCATGTTCTATATTAATTGACTGAAGAAAACTTAGTTTTGAGTTGATAAACACAATTTTTTGTACAAATGTCTAAAATTTTACGTACATGTTTTATGTACACGACTAAATAATTTTAATTCATTAACTTGGGTGCTTTTTGAAACTTCTGGCTATGTGACTGAGGTGGTATTTCTCTTAAAAATCAGCAGTATAGTCCAGGCTGCTATCTCACTGGTGTTGACCTGAGACCAATTTATACTGAGAAGAGAGGTTGATAAAATTACAGGATCAGCACAATTGGATGTGGTTAGTCCTGTATGGAATCTGCTTCCAGATGGCTATAAGGCGGTGTGGTAGAAGTCATCTAAATTGTACTTTCAGAGAGGATTAAAGTGTCATAAATCTACACTTTTCTAAGGAAGTATAGAGCAATCTATCCGTAAATTTGGTTCAGTTCTGATGGTCTGCAATTACTTCTGCAGTTTTCTTATAAACTAGTCCAGATCCATATTTGGATCCCGAGGATTAGACATGCGTTTAGATAAAAATGTTAAAGAACATTATGCCCCCTTAAAGTGTCGACTGGCTCCTCTTTGAAATAGTGCTTCACTCTTCAGATCTACACTCATACTAACTGCTTGTCAACCTGCGTTTTTTCAAAGATTTAAATCTAATTTCTCTGTTTTTTCTAAGTGTTGGTGTTCACTTCTTGGTAAAGCCATTTATGCTTCATTGTTCACATGAACACTGGCTTTTTCTTTGAACTTTAAATTCTGCATTTGCTTGTTGTTTCATATGTATTGACTTTGATTATTGTACCTTGTGCTGTTATTGAACCTTAAATCCTGATCACACAATGTCTCAAAACTGTATGTTCCTACCTGTGATCTTAAGGTAGACAAGATTGACTAAGGAAACTGACTTTTATTAAGAGAAAGGATTATATAATATTTTTGTCTTCCTAGAAATAGTAAACAGTTGCATTAAAAAATGAAACCAGAACAGAAATCAGCATCCTAGTAAATAATCTGTTTGTGACCCTTCTCTCCTGACACTTTAAACTGTATGTTTTTTAGTAAGTGGTTTCTTTTCTCATTGTCACGCATCTGAAAATCTTCCCTTGAAAAGGCTCGTGCGTGGTTGCTTAGCTACAGCATTGTATGCTTGTTACGCATTTCACCTTCTGAATAATAATAAGGTGAATTTTCGGAGTTTTCCATTTGTTAATAAGCACTAAGGAGTAAAGCAGAAATGTAAGGGAAAATGAAACATGGGAAAGTTACTTAGCAAAGATGATTATTCTTTTTTTTCTTCTACTTTGGCTTATGCATTTTCCAATCAAAATGACTGCATTTAATCCTTACCAAGTAGTATGTTACAACAGGCAGTGGATTCTGGTGATAGCGAAAAGAGATTCTTGTTTTAACTTCAGTGAGAAAGTTTTTATAAAATTTGTAGATGCTTTTTAAAAAGTCAGCATTTATTCTGTTTCTTAGTACATATTGATGTAAAAAAGACTTGACTAGATAGTCAAGATGGTTGTTCTTTCTGGTTGTAGTCTCTGAGGGTATGGAAAGAGACAAAGGGTCTAAGCTGGCTATTTCCACACCGACTCCCTGCTCATATTTTGGTATATACTTCATGACTGAACATAATCTCACTACTTGTACCCTTGTACCGTAGAGATAATGACTTCCGAATAAATTGATTTGAGAAATTGCACAAGGTTATTTTAGATGAAAGCAGGATTAGCACCCTTGTTTTAATGATAAGGTAGTTCATAGTTTGTAACAACCGAAGTTACACATGGACAGTGGGAATGAGATATAAAACATGCATGCAAGATTGTTTCATAGAATCTTTTTTTACTCCCCCTCTCCTTTTTTCTGTAGTGTTGGGGGTGTAGATTGCTTTATATAGTCTACTTCTTTGCTGCTTTTGCGGAAACTGTTCTGGGCTATGTTAATAATTAGTCTAAGAAGTCAGCGGCCAGTTGTCTCAATTACTACTGGACAGGCAGAAGGAAGAATTATATCCAGAGGCCAATTAAAAGACAACTGTTAAAGCAGCTCTGCTAGTTTTGTGTTGTTTTATACTTAATTTCTTCTTTGGCTGGATGTGTAAAATAGTTTCATTACAAAATACCATCCCTTTACACAATACAGAAGTTTGATTGAAGTCTATTTCATACCAGTTGAAAAGCAGAAACATTCTTTGCATAATCCAGGTCCACCTCAAGAACACACTTCAAGCAGTTTTCCCTGACAAGCTCAAGGCTAACACTGTCTCTTGAACAGAATGATTCAGTTGTGTGCACTTGTTTTGTTGGGTTTTTTTGTTCTTAAATGGAAGGTATGATGATTTAGAGATGTACAGGGGAAAAAAAATTGCCAGCATTATGTTGCTTCTATTTGTGGGTTGTAAAGCAAATAATTGACATGCATTATTTTCTGCTGAGATGTTGATTCACACTTAAAAATATTACTTTGATAGTTTAAACGAGAGATATCATAAGAGGCAATCTGGCTCACAGTTTAAATGTTACTAGCAAGATTTCAATGAAGTGGTTCTGATGTTTGGAAAACAGGAGAATTTTTGTGAGGGTGGGCATTGGTATTTAAATACCGGTCTATTTAATTTGAGTAGTAGATGTCTCTTTAAATCCTGTTTGCTGCTTTTAAAAATACACAGCAACTGAGGTGTTTCACTTCTTTGACCTCAAAAAGCACAAAGGTTGAAGGTAAGCAATTTGAGAAAAATCCTGTGTCTTACCTGTTTTTCTTTCATACACAAAAAGGATTCTTTATTTGCTGTAAAATAACAAACTCTCACAGGGAAAGGAGAAGAACTGTAGTAGAGTTACAATTTCAAATTTTCTGTTTTGTGGAAAAAAACTGACAATTTTGAATATTGCTAGAATAAAAAATGCAACCAATTGAAGGTATGAACATCCAGCTACTAAAAATGAGAAGGAAATTATGGATTTTTTTTCAAGACTAATGACATGTATCCTTTTGAATTTCAAGACTTGTAAGACCTCATTGCTGTCAGAAAAACAAATATAGTAAGTCAAGGCAGAATGCTGTGCTGGAAAAAATGTGTACTTAGAAGTTTAAAGCAAAGGTTGACGTACAGGAAGATAAGAATTTGAAAAATCATTGGAATTCTCTCCTCTTATCCCTCCTGTCTGTAAAATTGTGTGGCTTCATTTCATGTTCATCACAGGATTTGGGGTATTTGTAGCAGTATATATAACCGCAAATATTGTGCGGTTGTTTGTGTAAGCAGTGTATGCCTATGTTATTTATGCTCTAGGGTAGAGTAGGTGATGTTGTTTGTATGTTTCTTAAGGTGCTGTTTCTGCATTGTATGATAAGCAAATGAGTTCATATCAGAGTTCTCGGAAATTGGACTGTGATACTGTGTAAAGTGCTGGTCCCATGGATTGTCTTTTTGATATTTTCTTGGGTTCTAAAAGCCCGATATTTACAACAGTGGTGGTAGGGCAAAATGTAACATCTTTCCTGAAAAGAGATGTTGCCTCTTCTGTTCTGGAAATATCCTTATTGAAGGTTTGGAGATAGTGTGGTTAAAACCTTTGACCTGAATGCACACTCAAAGCTTTAATTCAGGCCTGGAGTTCTGTGCTCATGGGTATAGCATACAGTGTGTGCTATCTATATGTTACACGGTGATCATACATTGGCTTTTTTCTTGTCTGCTAGCTTCTTTTGCATGTGTGAAAAGGATGTTAAATAAAGAACTCATTATTTTATGTCTAGTCACTGTGCAATAGAGGTTTTAAAATACTTATGAATATATTGTTCTAGGTCAAAGTGACTTAAAACTTTGAAAATGCCATAGATTTCTGCCTTGTGTTATCTAAAGCACCCTTATAAGATGACAGAGGGAATAGATTTGTTCGTTGAAGTCATTAAAAAGAAATACTTTGTTCATGCAGTTTTCTATGTGTATGTCTTCTCTTCTCGGAAGAGACTCTAAAATAGCATCTTTTTTTTCGTTCTTCCTTAATAGAAATCTGGTTAAGAAGTACTGTCCTAAACGTTCACCCAAAGATGAGGAACCCAGGTAAAAATGTGCATTTCAAGTTCTATGTATAAGAAACAAGGACTACAGTGTACTCTGTCCTTTTATGGATTTTTTTCTTTTTTTTTTAAGATAAAGTATTTAATTGGCTAAGACAACGAAAAAATTCTGCTTGGCTTCTTATAGTTCTGCTGTAATTCTTAAGCATGAAACCTGAGTTTACTTCTATTTGTATTTTAAAGTAGTGAACGTGGCAGGTTGTACTTGCTCCGTTCCAAATTAATCTTTAGCTAGATGAAAGTTTGAAAGCAGAAGTTCAGTATGCTATGTATGGTCTAGTATTATTTTTTTAAAGAAAAGCAATTAAGTGTTCTCAGGCTGTGTGTTTTGCTTAGTTTAGTAGAGTTTTTCAGTGCATTTGTATGGCAATATTGTCATGTTTTTGGCAAGAAGAGCTCTTAAACTGCTGACTTGCTTTGGCTCAGGAGACAAAATAAGTGACTGCCTAACTGTGGAGGAGCAATTTGTGCTAAACAAATTTATTTATCAGAGCGGTGCCTGTTTTGCTGTCTGTGCCCATAGCCATTTTTTTATTTATTTAGAAAAACACAATACTTTTTTTCTGTAGGGATAACTCTTATGAAGGAAAGAAAGTGGGCAAATTTCAGGTTGCAGCCAAAGCACATGCTGTGCGCAGAGTGACTGAGAATTCACACTAGGATTTCCTCTCTTTCGACTGTTTAAAGATCCTGGACCACAGGGAATGGGATTTCTAGTGCTAGGGTGGCATTTTAATTCCCCAGAGCCAAGCCTATGGAGATGGCAGTATTCCACAGTTAAAAGAGAGAAAGATGTATATTTTAATGTGGTGCCTGTTTTTTTGTTTTTTTTTCTTTCTTCCCTTCCACACACACTTTCTACCCTTTGCCCCTCCTCTTCCCCCCTTTTTAGTGCCAGCCATAGTGGCACCTTACTTCCAGCCAAGAGGTGGGCAGGCAAACAGGCAGCTGTCTCCAGAGCTGATAGCAAACTTGTTCTGTAGATCATCCATCGGGATGCATATGAGTGGTATGATTGGCATGTTCCACCCTCAAGACTACCAAGCACATCATCTCTGCAGCAAGTTCAGCCTCCGAGCCTAGGGACGTATGTATCCGTTCCCAAGCTCAGGCCTCTCAGTTGGCAGCTTAGGAGATACCACTATACGACAGGGCTTTCCAGGTAGTATTCTTCTTCTTTCTTTTCCATCCACAAAAATCCATATTCTTAAAAAATGTATTTGAAGAGACATTGCAACATATAGTACGTGCTAGGCTTAATGTAGGCTTTCCCAACTTGCATTTCTACTGTAATTCAATTAGCATTAAGATAAGGTTTATTGTAAAATATGTATGACTTTTTTTGCTTTATTTAATCAGGAGTACAGACTATACTAAAAGAAGTCCATTTTAAAAAGCTGTCTCACTTTTTGTGTATGTATGTTTGTGCGTGTGTGCTTTCTGTCAGGTTTACTTCATGTATTGCCTTTTTTAACATCCTTAATGAGTTGAATGACTATGCAGGACAACGAGAAGTAGTTGCAGAAGAAATGGGACACAGAGTGTACGGAGAATTGATGAGATATTCTCATGATCTAAAAACTGAGAGAAAAATGGTAATTTCTATACTTCGATTTGATAATAGAATATCAAAAATGGATATGTCTTTTAACGAATTGATGTATTTGTTTACCCAATTTAATGAACTTGGCAATAAGTAGGTTTTTTAATACATTTATAAAACTCGTATTTAAAGTTATTCTGTATTTTTATGTACTGGTTTACTACAGTTATTAAACCTAAAAATTAAGGCCTTGGGAGGTAGTGCTTACTAGTAACTTTTTTGCCAGTGTAATTTTCATCTGTGGTACTGTTCTTATATGACTAGTAACGTCTTCCAAAGAGTACTGGTAACTTGTGGGAGATACTGCACATCATAGCGTGTCAACTAGAGCAGGGGCTAACTAATGGTAATAGTACTAAAAAGATATGTAAATTACACTTTTTTGTGGTGTTTTTAGCATCTTCAGGAAGGGCGAAAGGCTCAACAGTATCTGGACATGTGCTGGAAACAGATGGATAATGTGAGTTTGTGGGTTTTTTTCCCTATCAAACTTAATAATATACAGTCTGTAAATGGAGCTGTTGTCATCTTGCTTGCTTAGACTTTAATGTTTAGCTATATTACTGAATGTCCAAATCAGACTTAGTAACATCCAAAATACAGTTCAACGCATTCGTAGTTCCCTGCTTAAAAAAAATAATCTCCTGTAAACAGCTTCTGTGTGTATGTTTGAGTGAAGTCTTGGCTTTTGTCCAATGTAAAGGAATCTCTTTTTAGTATAGGTACAGACTTCTTTGGTTGCTTCTCTGCAGGCTACTTTTTGTTTAGAGAGTAATTAATAATGACAGTTTATTTATATGAAGATGAAATCTTAAGTCACTATTTGACTTGAGTTTGAGGGCTTGATACATGAGTTCTATTCAAGAATATCCCTGTAGACTATTATACTTTCAGTAGAATTACTTTTTAAGAGAGAAAGGCAGGAAGTTAATTTCTCTAGAACGGATTATAAACTCCTTTTTCTTGAGAGACATGCTTTTAAAAGTGAGAAAATGTAAAATTCAACCGAGTGTGTTCAAGATGCATTCTGATGTTCTGCTGGTTTTGTGTCTTTGAATCAAAGATACAATAAATTTCTGATTATTGTGAAGCAATATCGGAGAGGTGAATTTCTATTTTGTTGTTGTGGACCCAGATAAGCAATGTCTTGCTTCGGTGTCACGTCAAAGAGTTTAATTAATGGTCAGAGGATCAGAGTAGAGGCAGATGTGGTAGTTTTAGATGCTGTCACCCTTCACCAAGATAATTCTGAGTTCACCTCAAACAATCAGTTGTGTTGTGTGCACTGTATTTACTTGAGTGCAAAGTCCGTCTTTTAAATGCATACAGCCTTTGAGGGACACATTAACCTCAATTGCCTGACTTTGAACTGAAGCAGGAGAGCAGTGCTCACGTGATCTCTGTTGCCAGTTTGTCTCTAGAGATATTAATTTCTTGAGCTGCAGCAGTTTTTCCTACAGCAGTTGTCTTGACAACAGCCGGATATATTGAACATCAAGTACCTTGAATACTGTTGTCTGTGCTGCTCACAGCTACGCCAGTTGATATAAATACCGATGATAATGGATGGGTATGCTAAGATCTCGTAATGTAGATAAATCCTTCAGACTACCTTCAAAATAATTTAGTTGAATTTATTCAATTAAAATTGATCACTGAAGAAGGGAAACTTGAAAATTTTACTCATACAAGTCCAGGTTTAAGTTTTCTGCCCCCTAACTTTTATTTAGGTTATTGAAATCAGGCTAGAAGGTGGACTTGTCTGTTTATAATTAACTGCGGATCTTTGTAATAGGTTATTTTGTATTTTGATTATCTGATATTTTATAGCATAATTACAGTAGTTTTCTTGCTGGTACTTCAAGGAAATAAGTTTTAAATAGAACAGTTGAAAATTTTTGAGACTTGGTTGCTGTGAGAACAATGTATTTACTTAAAGGTATTTAGTGAATTTAAGATACTTAAATGGAAGCTTTGATATTTAGAATTCAAAATTACTGTACAAAACCAAAAGGGGATAGTGGCTGTTGAAGCAGTAAGTTTGTGGCTTTTGTAGAGCAAAAAGAAATTTGAGAGAGAATGCAAAGAGGCAGAAAAGGCACAGCAAAGCTACGAAAGACTGGACAATGACACTAATGCGACAAAGGCTGATGTTGAGAAGGTAAGAGCGGTGCCATTTCTTTCTTTACTCTCTTTTTATTATAAAAAACATTTTATTTGCATGTTTATCATCAGTACTGGAACAACAATCTTTGGGTGTATAAAATTGTCTATAAAATGCTTGCTGCTTGTGTGCAAAATCAAAGTTACAGTAAAATATAAGCACAGAGAGGGAGTGCAAAATCAAAGTTACAGTAAAATATAAGACAGCACAGAGAGGGAATATGCTTCATTAGTCTCGATGATGACTATCTTCCTTAAACACGCAGGCTTACTGGTATTTGGTATCTTGTGGTATATATGTTCAGTCACTTCTGTGTTTTTTAGGATGTGCATTTAAGTGACGTGGCTAAGGGAGCTACAATGATCATTGCTCTCTCTGTATGTAATAAATTAGGTCTGTAGACTGTCAGTATATATGAAGTCTCACATTCTTTTTATTTCAGTTATAAGGATGTCAGTTTTGATGACTTGTGATTAGAGTTTTTGCATAGTTGGTAAAATACATTAAAATAATGCTGTATGTCATTGAAAAGCACAGGACATGTTTGAACTGATAACACTTTCCTACTAGGCTAAGCAACAGTTAAACCTGCGCACACATATGGCTGATGAAAATAAAAATGAATATGCTGCACAACTACAGAATTTTAATGGGGAACAGCACAAACACTATTATATCGTCATTCCTCAGATTTATAAGGTAAAATAATTAACAGAGAAAGTATGTCTGATATTCTTTTAAGAGAGAAGTAGATTTTAAAATTTAAAACTTTTATTTTGGGGATATTCGTGGAAAATTTTATCAAGAAATCATGAGACTGCTTACAGTAATTATGCTTAGACTTGTAATGAACATATTCTGTTGCATTTTCTATGAAGATTTTATATTTTATAGACTCTTTGTTTAAATATTGCTGAAGAGGTATGGCAAAATAAACATTTGAAACATCTGGATGAGAGCAAACATTTAAAACAATTGTTCTAGTAAGGTTTGGTCACTAGTTCTCTTGGTATTTGTATGCGTGTGTGAATGCTTTGACTCTGGCAGAGATGAAGGAAAGTGTATAGCTAATGGTGACTATGTGGTTTAATGTATCTCATGTACAGGTATAAAATGGGTGGATTGGAGGCAGAAGTACTTCCCCCCCATTGGTCATTGCTTCGTCAATATTACCAGCAATCCACAGAAGTCTTTAAAATAATAAAAAAAGTTAAAGGTCAAATTAGATCAATACTTTGCATCTAAGAAGGGGATTTCTCAAGGTGCTTCATGTAACTATTAAGATTATTTTTTCTTTTAAGATTCTTTCTAAAACAGAGACTTTGCAAAACTGGTTTAAAGTAAAGTAGTCGGGGGGCGTCAGGTGAAGGTGAGTTCAGAAGTGTATTGGCATGTACATTCAGCCATTTGGGAGAATACTGTGACTGTAGAAACTGATTCTGAGACATGGAGCGAGGAAATGGAAAGTGAAAATAGTGACTTTATTTGAAGGTGTACCAACTTAAGAATGCTTGATATTTTCCAGAAGCACAAAGGAGTTCATATTTTTAAAAAATACTTATTAGAAGGTCTAGGATTCACAGGAGAAAATTGCCTTGACTTATTAAAGAATTTTCTAATATTTTAACTGTTAAGCAGTGCTACAGTAGATCTGACGTTAGCACACTGATGGGAGGAATTGCAGTCAACTCCCAGGAGAAACAGTTCGATCATCTTTGTAGCTTGGACCAGAGTTTTGGTTTATTGCCTTTATTTCTCTAGGGTTAAAATCCGTTATCACTGTAAGATATTACTTACGTTTTTTGAAATCTCCAGTAAGAACAGAAAGGCCTAGTCCTGCTTTCTCTTGGGACTACATTTTTATTATTTCCTTGCAAGTATTTGTTAACATTCTATGGGAAAACCTTGTGAGAGGGATTCAGCATGACTAGGTTGTTGCTTTGTTTTGGAGAGAGGAAATTGGATGCTGTTTGAGCCATCTGCCTTTGTTAGAGTAGATACAGGAATGATCCAACTTCTTATCCCATTTTTGATAACCTATTGATGTATGTACTGTTGCTTTTTGTTTTCTTTTGTGGTTTTTTTCCACCTTCAATTAGGTTAAAGGTCCAGGGCTTTAATAGTATTTAATAGTATTTCTCCTTAATTTGTTCTTTTTGTTGTGTCCCAGTAGACTTTTATTACAAATCTTATGTAATGGTATTCTTTTCTTTATTTTCTTGCACACTTCTAAAGGAAATGGTTTGTATTTCAAATCAGAGAGCATGTCTAAACATCATATAATTTTAATATTTCTAATTTTTCCTTTTTTTTTAATCATTGGTATTTATTGGAAAGTATAAAAATAAAAGCAAGATAGAGATACTTATCACCAGGGAGAAATTATTTGGAACTAGAAGGAGAGAGTGAGGAGACATAGAAATTAGTAGACTTTCTTTACTGTTGTTTTCATTTTTGCATGAAACAAATATTTTAAACTAAATAGGCGGCTGTAGACACTGTGCACATGCTTTAAAAAAGAGTAAGGAAAAGAAAGTCCAGTCCTTTACATCATTTTTAAAAATCAAAGAGTATCAATTCTTCGTAATTACTGTTCTGGGCATCTTAAGTCTATGTCTGAAAGGACTTGATTTTTTTAACTTAATTAAGTTCTGTTTTGTTAAGCAAATAAAAAATACTGGGAAAGCACAGAAATTCTGTACTACACTGTGGTGAGCACAGTAACTGCATACATCAGGATCGGGGGGAAAAAATCTGCAAATAAAAGCTTTATTTTATCTTACTTTGTGCTTGCAGCAACTTCAAGAAATGGATGAAAGAAGGACTATCAAACTTAGTGAATGTTACAAAGGCTTTGCCGACTCTGAGCGCAAGGTTATTCCGATTATCTCTAAATGTTTAGAAGGGATGATCCTTGCAGCAAAATCAGTTGATGAACATAGAGTAAGTAGAATTGAGCGACTTTTTAAATGTGCATGAGCGATTTAACTGATATGGAAGCTGTGGAGAGGGGAAAGACAGACTTACCCTGTATGTTTATCTTTCTGTGGTCAAATATTTGTCTGCTTGAAAAGTGTTGTGACTTGAGTTTTAGCCTAAATGGTCCCTTCCGCTTTCGGTGTCTTTGTCTTCCTGTTTCATTGCTTTCTTGTGATCTGAAGATCTTTGACACTTTCTCACTGTATGTGATATTGGACACATTGTTTTGGTTATCCTGAAACATCCTGGAACACCCTCATGGTTGGCATTTTCTCCAGTATGTAGCATTAAATCATATAAAGGGTGTTCAGTTAACAAAGTACCATTCTGTGTCCTGTTTGATTGCAGCTATTGCCACTTCTTTCTTATTCCTTCTAATACAGGTTCTTCCCTATTATATCTTACTACACCTAGTTTTTCTTAGTGTTATCTTCGTGTAGTGCTAATGTTGAAGGATTAGAAGGTGGGGTAGTAGTTTGGCCCTAAAGCATGTCCTGTTTTAAATTTGTGGTAACCCTTGGGAAGCATTTGCTGGATTCTGAATAGCAGGGTATGCTTTGATTTACACACTGCTGAGAAAAAAGAACATAGTTATCTTAACTTGATTTCTCCAAAAGCATGCATTTTGAGCTCGCTCTCAGTTTCCCATCTGTGCATCTCTGCAATTACAGGGAAAATTTATGTCTCCATGTTCTCTCTCCGATTCTTGATGGGTTTGCTTGTTTTGCTTTTTAAACTCCTTAATGTCCTATGTTTAGGACTCTCAACTAGTGATAGACTGCTTCAAATCCGGTTTTGAACCTCCTGGAGATTTTCCATTTGAAGATTACAGTCAGAATATTTACAGAACTATCTCTGATGGAACCATCAGTACACCAAAGCAGGAAGGAATGAGAATTGATTCAAAAACTACAGTGGGCAAGGCTAAAGGAAAGCTGTGGCTATTTGGAAAGAAGCCAAAGGTAACAATTAAGAAATTACTGTTTGGAAAATTAAAATGTGAAGATCTAGAGTGCATGGAAGCAGCAGTTTATTTATTTTAAAATAACCTTCCCCTTGCCTGCCACTGTCTTTTAAAATATGTGTAAGGAGATCTGAAGGTTTGAGTAGGGTTGGATACTTACATTAAAAATCAAGTTCTCACTAGGGGAATTTTTCCAATTTTTCTTCAAGTGATTTGGGTCTGGGAATGTTTTTAATAGTTATTTGATAAAATTAGTTTCCCATTTCTGTAACATTTCTAAGTTTCCGTAAAGACTTTCTGTGATTGCATAGAAAAGGTGTTAATTGTGAATGAAAAAATAAGGGGAGGGGGAGTATGCTTTGGAATTGGGCAGACTTCAGATCTCTCTTTTATACTACAAAAAGCAACCCCCTTCTAAATGTTACATTTTGTAGATGTTTATATATAGGAGTGTTTGTTATATAGATTTTTATTATACCTGCTGCTAGTTGTGAAAACTTCTGGGGTTTGTCTGAAAACATTAAAATTTATAATACCTCATTGATAAAACATACTGTTGAAGCTCCATACAGGTAAATGTCGCAGAAGAAACATTACTATGAAATAGGTAAAAATATTCCTATGCTCAAGAAAAAATTGAAAGCAGAGAAATTACTCCTTTCTTGTATTACTATATGAGTTTCAATTAACACTTTCTGTGCAAGATGCCTTCATGGATCAACAAAAAAGATTATCAGTACATGCATTAGCTATATAAATGAAGCATATACATGTTGTGCTAGGTCTTTATTTAGTATTGGAGCATATCAGTGAGTCATTTTAATGATTCCCACAAATTTCTGTGAGGTTATTTTAATGCTCCAAGTCAGTTTCTGCCATTTATTATAGGAAACTATTCTTAGAGCTTGTTAGTGGTAGGATTTATTTTCCACTTGAAAGCAGATCTTTACAGAAAGAAAGGATATAGCCGATTCTTTCTTCCCTCCTCAGTATATTATGTAACTGCAGCTGTGTGCTAAAATGAAAACTGTTTACTTTTCATGCAGTGTAATTAATGATTGATAATAGTTTAAATGCATTAATGCATTAGCATATCTGTTGCATTTGGCTGCAGAGGTGGGTGAGATTCAGCCTGTTCTGAAATTAGATCGGGATTACCAGTTTGACAACAAGACATCTTTCTGAGAATTTTGGAGAGGGAAGCTATGAAAATCTGCATTGGTTTTCAATCTGGACCTTGGCATTTACTGTAGTTACAAGAAATTCCTTAGTATGATGACGGCTGAAGAAAGCTGACAGGACTTTCCCTACTCTTTCTTCTCCCCAGTTCATTCACTTTGTATGTAGCATTCAGAGAGTCAGCCTTACTGTTTCCTGTATGGAATCACAGATACACATATGTGTATACATAACACATGCATCTCTTCTTAAGGACCTGGAGGAAATGGAAGATTATGTCCAGTTTTTCCCCCTGCTTTGGGGGAGGATGGAGGGGCGCTCTACAAAACAGCAGCTGGGAGCAAAATACTTACCAGGAGATACATATTTAATTCCAAGTACTATTTACAGGTTTTAAAAAATACTCTTAAATTAATAAAAATATGCTGATTTATTGTAGCTGGGGTATTCATGGTGGCCTTTGGGCCTTCATTTAGCTGAAACTATGGCTGGTCTTGACTTCCACATACACGTTTACCTACTTTTGATGTCATCAAAGACATAAAAGTCTTTTGGAAAGGGAATGAGTTGTGCAGCAGAGGAAATAGTACAGAAAAATCGAACTGGGAAAAAGCAGCAGAGGTATGAGAGACAAAAAATGAGAGAAGCAATTTGAAAAAAGGGGAGGAAGAAAGCGGAGGAAGTTCTCGTGATATTAAGAATGCCATGCAGCCATTGTGTCAGTCCAGCTTGACGACAGAGATTGAGTATACTTTTTGTCTTAGTCATTCTCCGTAGATGTACCTAATATTTCTATTTTAGCTTACCTGGTAGGGTACATCAAAATGTAGGAAGAAACAGTGAGCAGGAATGCCCAAGCTTCCAGAATGGCTGTAATTGAAGTTGGGAAAAGCAGAACTTCCTGTTGTAAGAAAAGAGACAGGCAACTTCAGGATCTTGTTAGGATCTTGTGGAAGTGTTGAGTCTAAAGCTTTTTTGAATGTTCCTTCATTCTCTGCACCAACCTGTAACTCTGAAGATTAATTCATGACAGAAACCTTTTAAAACCAATACAGTTATAGTGTAAATGTGTCTGGAACGTTACAAGCTGTTTCTGTGTTGGATGGAAATTTTATTTTTGTAAGACAGAATTTTCATTTTAAAATCACTTTGAACATTTGGCTTATTTATTGCTTTCTTTATTTCCACATTAGCCACAATCCCCACCCCTAACCCCTACTAGTTTATACACATCCAGTACTCCTAATGGGTCCCAGTATCCCATATTCTCCATTGAACCAGTGCATTATTGCATGAGTGACATAAAAACAGGGAAGCCCAGAATTCCTTCTTTCAGAAGCCTCAAAAGAGGGGTAAGTTTGATAACAAGTTGAAATGCATGATGGGCTATGAACAGTGTGTTTGTGATGTGGCTTTTCTGATGCTCTTCACCCTCATTATAAGGCTTACTTTGTTAAAAGTAACACTTCAGCTGTAAGGTTGCCGTTAGGATACTTTGTTTCATATTATACAGAAGTTACCAACAGGTTAAAAATAAAATAAAATAGAAATACTCTTTATCACATTCCAAATACTTGTGCCTAAAAGAAAGGTGTTATAAAGAGGGTGCTCAGCATGTGTTTGATACCTTTCTTCATTGTTGTTCACATTCACAAATGTTTTCCTACCATCATGTAACATATTTTTGCAGTAATTTATCATTGGGTATATAGTCACCACAAAAAACATCTGACAGATCAGATGTCTTATTTGCTGACTTTTAATTGAAATAATAGTAGTTGATTACAAGACACTGAACTAAGAAGGGAGAAGTTTCATTTCTTTTGTACATCAAATGCTATAGCACATGGTGCTTGCAGATTTTGAAATACTGATTTTTGAAACATTACAATTTTAATGCATTTTTTGATTAATAAATTGTTCTTGTTTGTCCAAGGTTCTTTTGGGTAGAATTATTGAGCATTTACTACCAAATGCCACCTGCTGAGATTTATCAGTTCATTTACTAATTTATAGTGGCTTACCCTGCAAATAGAATTTGTTTGGAAGACAATAAAAGGGAAATGTTAAGTGGCTTCCTAGCAACATTTATACTAGTGATAAATGTACTGGCACTTTCCTGTTAGGTCAGTGAAGCATAGGCTGCCCAGTTTATGTACGTTTTATGGTATTTATTGATCCAAACAATGAGATAATTGGATGCATTTGATTATATATAATTCATGATTTTCTGATGTTTGAAAACAATATTGACTTGCTGTCTCATGTGCATCAAGAATGGTTGACTACTGCTGACATAATGTGGAGATCAAAGTACAACGTTATATTGCAGTATAGTTATGATTTAGAGGCTCCCTTGCTGTGATTCTGAAGTATAATGAGTTACACTTAAAACTTACTTTCTTTAAGTCATGGCATCTTATTTCGGGCCCCCAGATATCTTGGAAATACCCTTTCTACCACCACCTTTTTTTAGAAAATTCCTGTGGTCCTCTAAGTATTTATGGAGGACAGTTTCTCCTTTCCCCTTCTGACTCACTTATATCATAATTTGTTCTGGTCATGAAGGTCATGTTCCTTCTTTAGTACTCACTGAGGAACTAACCAGATTAGATAGCTGTTGAAATGGCACAGGTCTTGATTACACCTCCTTCTTGTTGATCGCTAAATGTATTGACTCCTGGCTCCCAAATCAAGACCTTGTAGTATCAGTAGTTCTAGAAGCTTTTACTGAAGCAAAAGATCATCTCCTAACAACTACAGAATGCTAATGGAAAATGAAACCATATTTTTATTTAATTTTTTTATTCTTACAGTTCATTGTTCATGTTGTAAAAGTGAATGAATTTAATATAGAATAGTATTCTGTAAAATTAGCAAGGATCACTAGTATCCTACAAATCTGGATTAACTCAAATATCCCACAACATCAAGTAGTTAATCTCTGTAAATCTTCAGGATGAACATTTAATTTTTATATATTTTTAAATTCCTTGCAAGCGTTTTAACAGACATCACACTATCACATATTGAGTGCCTTTTCAACTTAAATGCATACTGTAATTCTAATAGATTTTTTTTTTTAAAATCTCACTGATGCTTAATAGTTGCTAGTACATGATGCTGTTTTCCACAGTTTTGTCCCTGGAAAATGATGTCCAACTGGTATTGACATGCAGAACTACCAAGTGGTATTTAATTCGCTTCTGCTTCTACCGAGATTTATCCATGAGTTGGCATATATCAGACAGTAAGCATACTGGTTATTTTAGCGTGCCCTGTATGAGATTTCACTCAAGGCACTGGAGATCACAAAACCAGACTGCCCTCGTTCTGTGCTTCATGCATTAGATTTTCCTATCGTGATATATAGCGAAAGCAGCAAACAGTAGCTGGAGAATAGGTTGTTGAAAAAAGTCTTTGAGTGTAAGCAAGTGTAATTTGCTTTATTAGTACTCCTGTTACATGCTGCTGCTTATCCTTTGAAATCTTAACATTTCCAGATAGTGTTAGTGCTTATGAGAGGTCTTTGCTCAGTGCCACTTGATACATAAATAGATGTATCGTCAACAGTGATATGTAAACCTTTCTTGTGTTTTCTTGGAAGACTCTAAAGGGAACAAGAAGTTTATTCTGTAGCCATTTTACATCTTTGGACTTCATTGAGGTTTCTACCAAAGTATCATTTGTTAAGGTGCTTTACTTTCCTCGTTGCTAGAAATTCTAATTTTGTGTGCCCCAGTCCGCAGCCTTAACAATTGCTGACGGTCATAAGCGATGTCGGAGGTACATATCTTCTAAGTTGCTTGGTGTTTCTCTGGAAAGAGTTATCCGAAGTCATTGAAAGCATGGTAGATCTTCAAAATGCTGTGAATGTTAAACCCAAGATACGACACGTGGCATCCCATGTTGTATTTGCTTCCTTTACTCTTTAAACGTCTTTATTTTTATCTGGTCTGAAACATCCCTAGAATAGCAGCAGTGACCCAAATGCTGTTTTCGGAAAGTAAAATTACTTCTAAACTTGAAAAAGATCTTTGTTTATTGTAGTTCTACTGTGATAATAAAGTAAATACATTGTAAAAATTACGTTTGTAAAAGTGATGGTAGTGGATTGTTAGCTATAATTAACAAATTATTTGCATATGGCTGACCAGTCCTTCATCATCATCAAATTCTGCTATTTTGTGCAATGTTGGCTGTGTGTGTGTTTCTTCTCCTACAATAGAAGTTCTTTAGCATATTATTCAAAACACTAAAATTCAAAAGTAGTTTAATGAACTTGTGTATTAGAATTTCATAAGTTAAACTACCCATTATCACCTAGTAGTTTTTTGAATCAGTAATTCTTAAAGCAGAAGTGCATTTCTGATTATTGTATTTTGCTTTTCTTGTGCTCATAGTAAAATGTACTTTTTATAAATTAAAATTTTAATCTTTAAGTAATATTTTAAAGATACATTTTTAGGCATTAATCATTTTCGTAACTGGTCGTTGCATGTGAATAATTTCCCGTTTCTTTCTGTTTTCAAATGAACTGTGCAGTGGTCGGTGAAGATGGTAAGCCCGTGTGCTGATCTGTCTGCTGTACTTCTGCTAAGATAGCATGAAAGTAATCTTTTGAAAGTGTTTCCATATCATAACTGCTTTAAGTCAGGTGCTGAAATACATCTTCAGATTTTCCACTCATGTACACAGTCTTCTTAATCATCCATGCTTAATGTAAGATAATTAGACTTGTGATCTGGCTGCAGCTTAAATCTGTCATTTTGGAATTTTAGGGTTGACCAGTATTCACAAGTTGGTCATGATGGAAATACTTGGTGATTTCTTTTTGTCAGGAAAATGGTTAAAGCAGCATGAAATAGGTATATGAAAAGATTACAAAACTTGTGTAAAGAAAAAATATTGAATACTGTGAAATTCACTCCTTTGAATTTAACCAAAAAAATTGCAGGGGAGATGATCCTTTATGCTTAGGAATATTAGAAAGCTGTTAAATGAAAACCACACCTTAGTCAATATTGTTGTTTTGCAGAGTAAATCAGTAAAAATTCACAAAAAGACCTCTGTTGTTCTGATTATTGCTGTAGGATACTCTGGTTTTAACTGACCTGTAAGGAAGAGTGATATGGAGGATGTGGTTGTCTTTTTGTTTCTTTGTAGTGTGTAAAAGCACCTTGAAAGGATTTTAATTTTTTTTTTTTTTCCCCCTCCAGAAAGAAACATTTCTGCTTTATTTTGGAAACATCGTATTTTTATTTCCCTCCTTTTATGGTGTCTTGTATTCCCTCCTTAAAAAGCAGTGACCATTATGATTTTACAAGTGCAAAAGAACCAAGAAGTTGAGGGCCAAGAAGATCTTAAGAGGGGGTATTAGAAACTTGGCACCTGAGCCTAAGGCTGCTTGTGTCAAAATCTGGACAGTCAAATTTCTGTCAAGTTTCTTCTTGACAAAAGAAATGCTGTCCAGTTCGGTTTGCCTCCATGGAGGGTTGCTGTAATGGCAAGTGGGTTTCTTGTGCTAAAACCGACTTTCTTGGGCAACTAGGATGCAAATAGTGGACTTAACTTTCTGCTACTAAGATGTGTACCATATTTCCTTCTTAACACTGCTGGTGTCTGTCACCCTGAAGGGAAGAGTTTTCACAACAAACTCACAAGATACGTAAAAATCTCTTCCCAATGCTTTTCACACCCAAGTCCTTCCATCCTGTTTATAATCTTGGCACAAGTTTGCAATCAAACCTTTGCAGGTTTGGGCTCATAACAATAGGTGGTCTTAAGTGGTTTTTTGTTTGTTTTTTTGGGTTTTGGGTTTGTTTTTTTTTTAAGTTTGGAAAGTAGGAGGTTTTTTTCCCCTCCCTGAAACATTTTTTTTTTTTAATAGTAAAAAAGGTGACCTGGAATATTTGAGCAAGTTTTGATTCAGATTAACAAAATTAAGTCAAAACTTTGATGTTACAAAGTTACAAAGGCTTTTTCTGTGCTCTGTGAACTAGTTTTACTCAAGGTAAAATGCATCAGAACTTTGTAAGTTTTAATATGTTTTCTAGCACGATTGATGAACTTCTGGAAGAGAACTATAATAGTACTTTGGAATGAAGATCCAAAATACAGTATTTTTCTTTGGATAGCATCCAAATCACCATAGAACACACACTCTAGAGAAACAATTATACACTACTACTACTTACTATTATTAACACATCTTGGATTTTTGTTCTGCCTGAAATTACTCTGTAGTAATTAATTCTGTCCTTTCTAAATCCACTTTAAGTGCAGTGGATGTAATAGGAGGTACATGGCTCAGCTTTTCAGAAAAATAATTAAATCTGTGAGCCAACTGTTACAGAAGGCAGAAAGAACCTTGAATGAATGACTATGATCTGGCAGCAAGAACGTGCATTTACTCTGTTGTGGTCTTTTATAGAGCTGTGTGTCAAGTAGAGTTTTTAAGAAGGTCCATCCTGCTTCCAGTGAACACTGTCCGTGTGTGGGTATGTCGGTTCAGCTGTCCAGATATGTGCGTGTTACTTGTTTAATAGTATTTCTACTTGCAGGGCCCTGCGCTAGAAGACTTTAGCCATCTCCCTCCAGAACAACGACGCAAGAAACTGCAACAGAGAATCGATGAACTCAACAGAGAACTACAGAAGGAAACAGACCAAAAGTGAGTGCATTTTTTTGAGTTTTGTCATGGGTCTCTCTGTGTCTGTTTCTTTTGAAGTCCTCTACCTAAGCTGATAGTGGTCAGAAGCTAGGAGAGAATATGCTAGTCCAGGCTATTACAAAGCATTTTTCAGTTCGTGGTTTATTGTATGTAGGTTCTGTTAGCATTGCTTCCTTCTGCTTTACTATAACACACATTTTGATCCTAATGTTGCATAGGAAACATTGGCTCTAAAAGCAGGCATTAAAAAAAATAAAAAATCAATGCATAGGTCTTTGAGCAAGAGAGCCGCAACTTAGTGCGTTAAGAAAAGAACATTATTAATATTTAGGAAATTGTGTATAACAATATGGGAAACAGTATTGAGACTGGATAGAGAAGAGTCGACAGTTGGAGTGCTTGCGTGCTTGTGCACGACACAAGAAAGGAAGGCGAAGTGCTAAGATGGCAGAATGGGAAAAGGATTTAGGCGTGCTGTGGGGAGCAGTAGTTCCTCATGTCTGTGCTGATGAGTATCTAATCACAGGTCAGGATCTCATACACACAAACACTATTTTAACTTTAGTGAATCGGTACTGATGTATGTAATTTTTATAATTATTGTCGGGTTTTGTATGTTTTTAGAGATGCCCTCATCAAGATGAAGGACGTTTATGAAAAAAATCCCCAGATGGGTGATCCAGGCAGTTTGCAACCAAAATTAACTGAGACTATGAGCAACATGGACCGTCTTCGGATGGAAATACACAAGAATGAGGTTAGACTCTAAAACAATTCCTTGGGAAATGTAAATGAGTGGTAAAACTGTAGTTTGCCTTATAAATCTAGCATCCAGAAAAACTACTTGATTTAAGAAAGCGCTCCTGATAGAATTTTTTGTGGGGTGCCATATTTTCAAGTACGTTCATCTAGCTAGAACAAGAATGTACATTATTAAAGATGTAAACTGTTTAGAAGAATTTCTTATTAATCACTTATTCTGAAATTCATATGTGATTAAAGATTTTTTTTTTTCCTTAAGACTAGTATGGAGTATAGGCTAAGCACGAGGGATAGGTTCATGCGTCATGTGAAGTAATTATGAGACTTCACATGTGAATGCAGTCTCCGTGGCTGTGTACTGACAAATAAACTGTATGCAGTTAAGTGCATTTGTTAAATGGTATTTGCTGGTCTAGAATCTTAAGTTTTCTTTGACACCAATATTTGTCTTTTTTCCCCAAGGCCTGGCTCTCTGAAGTTGAAGGTAAAGTAGCAGCCAGAAGCGACAGGCGGCACAGCAGTGATATCAACCACCTTGTAACACAGGGCAGAGAGAGGTCACTATTCTATCTCTACTGCTTTTATATCTTATGCTAGCATCTGTACATCTCTTTGATAGTTAACAGTAGGTGATGGTTGTTACTTATCCTCTGAAGTTTATGTCCTAAAGGAAAATCTTACAGGTTCTGGATTCTAGAGGTCACTTCATGTCATTATGGTAACATAAAAAATAGTGAGTCTAATCAAAACACCCACTCATTAAAGAGCAGTGCCTTTTAAAGCTATCTTATTCCATTGCATAAGGCTCACCAGTTTTCCATATTCTATGGAGACCAGTATGTCAAATTTATGTTTGTTTTTGTAGCAGAATTCAGTCCAAGCCTTTGTTAGATCAGTATTTTCAGAAAATCACCTCCAGCAGTAAATATAAAAACTGCTAACAGGCATTCCCCGAGCCACATCCACGGTCTGCCCTTTCTGTGATGCACGTATGTTCTGAGTTTTAGAGCTAAGAACTCTTCAGAGTCCTCACGCTCGAATCATTGCATTATAGCCCTGAAGGGAGTTACACGGATGATGCAAATCAGGAAGTTCGAGGCCCACCACAGCAACATGCACATCCAAATGAGTTTGATGATGAGTTTGAAGATGATGATCCGTTACCAGCTATAGGACATTGCAAGGCAATATATCCGTTTGATGGTAAGGTTGACAACATGCACTACGAATCCTTGACTATAAGGCAACTTGACTATAAGGCGTGGATTATTTGTTACAGAGAAGACAGGTAAAATGATTTAAAGTAAATTAACTGTATGAGCAACTAATTGCTTGTAAGATCAGTGGAAATATTTTATAAATCAGTTTAATTAACGAGCAGTACTTTTGTGCTGTTCTAAGATAAATATTAGCACAGCTATTGGCAAATATTCAGCTTTACAAATTGGACTAGGTTTTTGTCTGTAAGCCTGTTTGACCATATGTTCTCTTGCACAGATTTTTGGTTCTTCCTGTTTATATATAATCTGGAAACTATGCCCTGGGAAAAAGATGACTTGAAATTCTGTCTGAACATTGAGACTTCTTTGCCTGTTGTTTTCCCAGGTCATAATGAAGGCACTCTAGCAATGAAAGAAGGGGAAATTTTGTACATTATTGAGGAGGACAAAGGAGATGGGTGGACAAGAGCTCGAAGACATAATGGAGAGGAAGGCTATGTGCCAACATCATATATAGATGTAACGCTAGAGAAAAACAGCAAAGGTGCAGTAACCTATATCTAACAGTAAACTGGCAGCTTTCAGTTGTACATTCCCCAGGGAAAATAGTGGAAAAATAGTAAGTTACACAGGTTCATGGAAAGCATTAGAATATGAGAAGTCAGCACTGGTCTGTTGTTTGCAATGTGAGTTTGCTATAGGGTTTTTTTTTTCAGAAATGACCACATTAAATTATGCATCTCACACTGGTCTGTAATTTTGACCAACGTCTTCTGCTTTAACTGATCTAGTGTTCCTGCTTTACAAAGCACTAAATCCAATTCAGCTATTAAACTGAAAAAGACCAGGATTCCTGCTTTTTCTATAGAATGCTTTGTTTTTATAGAGAACTGAAAAATTACTTAAAGATCTCTGAGATTTACTGTTCCCACTTTTATGACTTAAACTATATGCTTAAAACAGAGGGGTTTTTCCTCTAATAACTAACTGAACTCAGTTACTGAAAATTATTAATTTCCTTCCTTAGCAAATACTTGGCAGCTTTCACTTCTTAAACAGGAAAATGTTTTCTGATTCTGAAAGCTCAACAAAAATACTCAGGAAGAAACATTATGATTAAGAAGGACAGAAAGTCCACTGCCCTGCCTCTCCTCCTTCCTTTTCAGTACTTGTAATGTAGAATGTGTATTGGACAACGTCATTGTTTTAACTCTAGGCACCTTGAACAAACAAAAAAAGAGACCATGTGTGTGATGCTCGGTGTCTTACTGAAACCTCTCTCTGCTCCTGAAAAGGGAATGATTTTATATTCTTAATCTGTGCCTGTAAGCCAAGTCTTTTAATTGCATCATGTTTAGTTTGAAATCAAGGTCTAAAATGTACAGTAATTCCCCTCACTGTTAAATCACTGAGGACTGGAAACTGCATTGAACTACTTGATTACTAGGGGGGAAAAAAAGCTAATCTAAAAGCTGTGGCTCATATTTCTAATGAGAGTTTGTGGAATTAAGTACAAGGCTAATGTATAGCCACTGAGAATGGCCTGTTAGAACTGAGCACGCTTCTCTGTCTTCTAAAGGCCTTCAGTAACTTTGTTCTTTTCTTTTTCCTCTTGGACTGCAGGTTCCTGAAGCGGGTTTCTGAGAAAATGGGCGAGATCTTGAAGGAGGTTACATGCAGCTGCTGGGGGGGTGGGGGGGGGCGGGGTATTAGACTGGGAGGCCCAAGGGGAAAAGCTAGTTGCATGAATGCATGCAGACATACATTTAGTCACTAACATCTTAGCATCTCCATGCATAGGTAAGGATGTATTACAAATTCTTCCATTTGTGCAGGAAAACAGAGTTCCATTACCAGAGTAAAAAGGCTACTGCTCCTAAAATTGCTTTATTTTCATTGTCCTAGGTTGTCCCAGACGCACAAACGATATTTTAGCTTGTGCTGTGTTTTGGTTGTCTCAATCATGCTCTCTTCCAACTCATTTTAATTGGCAGTCGTTTAGAACCATATGTCAGTTATCAGTCTGCCTGTGCCACCTCCATGCTCGCCCTTAACCTCCTCCTGCATGCCTAGGACAGTCAGGCATGTCTGCATAACACTTTGCCATCATTGCTTGTCTTGTTTTGTAACAAATCATTTTGTTTAAATATCTTCAGCACTAGAGTTTCATCCCAGTATCCATGTATGCTGCTATAACTATACCACTGCAACCATCATTACATTCCAGTTTTTGGCATGACTGATAAGAGACCATAATGTATTTGTGTTGATCTGGGGAAAAAATACATCTCAGCTCTAGCCTACAATGCAATCAAGAGAAACTCCTAGAACCGCGGTCCATCTTCAGCACTTCAGTAACCTGTCGTGAGCACTGAAAACCTGGAACACCACCAGAGAGATTTCACCACTGCAAGCTAATGACTGTTTTCAGAAGTCAACCACTTGCCATTCAAATGCTGCCTTAAACTAGAGTGCCTAAATCTGTTGGTTGCCAACACTACCACTTACAGTATCCCACAAAGGGCTTTGTGTCTCAGCTCTTTTCACAGTGCTGCAGCTGCTGAGGTAGCCACGGTAGGTGTTTTCTAGAGCTCTACTTTACTGGATACATGGTGCGTCATGAATTTTATACATTGAAACGTGTATCTCTTCATTTGACTTTAATATTTTTAAAAATATTTTTATGGAAACTGTCTTTTAGTTTTTGACTATGAAGTTCCAATTTTAATTACTGCAGTGCTAGTCCATTTCCAGGTGATGCTTCATTGTATGGACCAGTTGAAATTTGAGTGATACTTCGTAATGATCTATGTGCACTTTTACTTGTAAACAATTGAAATTTGGATATGTTTATACGTGTAAATATAGTTGTCTGCAGTGCCCCTATTGCTTATGTTGTCTTGCCTCCCATTTGTGGTTCCATTAATAACTACATCGTATCTGATTTATTAGGTTGATAAGAATTAGACTAGAGATGTTGGGGGGAGGGATACTTGTATCAAAGCAAGCTTGTCAACCCAGCCACCTGCTGTTTGGGGAAATGAAATAATAATCAAAACATCCTGTTTTTCTGGGGTCCGAAGCAATATTTGGATGCAGCAGTGCTGGATTCTTTTTAATTTCAGTGTTATTAGGAACTGTACTACCAGTAAAACTGAATTTGAGTGACTTGTGTAGAGGTTTATTCCTTTTGTTATGTATACCACTATTACACAGCTTGACCTAGTGTATTATGGGGGCTATTAAACTCTAAAGTTTAGATTTTTGGAGCTTGTATACAGGGTTATTTATATAATAATGTGACATTACTCAATACTGACAAAACTACTTAGGTAGTTTTTTGGGTTTGGGGTTTGTTGGGGGTTTTTTGGTTTTTTGTTTTGGTTTTTTCTGTTTGTTTGTTTTGGTTTTTTAATCTAGTGCTTTTTTATTTTAAAGTTAGAGAAAAGGAGGAAATGTGATCTGTGTAGTTTCTTGCTAAAGGGCCTGTGGTTTGCCTGGCTAAACAGCCTTGCAGGTCAGTAATAACACTTCCTGGTAAAGGACTAAATGTTCTCTTCACGCTACTGTTTGTTTTTCTAAAACCAGGATTTGCTTCCTTTGGAGGCAGGTTGCTTTCGTGAGGGATAGTGCAACTTGTTTGAGGGTTATTAAACATAGGAAAAAAACATTTGTACTTGCACAGCTAGTTATAAATCACTTATTCTAAAATTCTGAACGTGAGTTGTCTTAAAGAATCTTACATTTTCCAGTAATTTTTATTCCTTTTTTGTGCACATGTTGATTTCCTAAATGTTAAATGCTTTGTTTAAAAATAGTGTTCTCTGTTGAGAATATTTTCATGGAATAAAAAAATCTTTTCATGGCCTAAGTAATTAGCTTCCCCATTTGTCTTCTGTTAAGATTGACAGGGAGACTTCAGCATGAGGTCTGTAACCTCTTGTTGTGGTGGCAGAACCTCTGCTATGATCGATTGAAGGTGGGGGGAACAGATAATACCATTTTGGTGTTAGTTTTGTTGTTAGCCTACTCTCCTCAAATACTTTCAAATGCTGTAAGTAACATCTCACTCCAGAAATAGGCTTACTGACAATGAGCACATGTAGCTCTAACCATAGTTCTTGCTTAAATATTTGTACAGCTTCTGAGGATAATGCTTATACACCAATTCTGTATGTGACAAAGTGGAATTTGCTGCTAAAGCACTCTTTATATAAAAAACACCATGCATGCTGATTTCCTATTAAAAGTGCTAACAGCTTATGCTTTGCCTTCATCCAAGGGGGAAAAAACCACCAACACTACTTACCAAAGTGATTCACCTCAGTAAATGAAGCAAGTTTAATATATACATACACCCACATTTACTCATATCTGAAAGCATTTTAATTATCAGGATTGTTTGTTCTTGCCATTTCATCATTCATTCCTGGCGGCGTAGCTGTTGTGCAGGTTCCAGCAAAAGCCAAAGTACTACAGATGCTGTCTTAAAAAAAAATGTAAGGTGTCCCAACACATACACAACTAGTTTTCTACTTTCATAGGTGCAGTGACATTTGAGCCTTCTGTTGTGGTCGCAGATAAAGGATCATTTCTGCAACCATGCAAATTATTTTGCATAAAGATACACTTTAATTCACAATTCTATGTACAGTGTTTTATATTCATTAAAGGAATATAATACAACAAATTTTTCTGCAATGTCACATACTTAATCTATCATTTTATTTACACTGTTTGCTTCATTTTAATATTAAGATGCCAGTGCCCTTACTCCTTGGCATTATCAAAACATTGCAACTCTGGGGAGATACGGAAAGCCGTAAGACTAGCTTACAGGGATAACCTAACTGTTTAAAGGGCTCATTAAATGACTTGGTGATGCAGTAAATAAATAATTTGTTTAGAAATCAGTAGTTTTAAAACAAGTGTGCATTGTGCAGCTAAAAGTTCTAAACATCTTGTGAAATGCAAGAAGTTTGTGCAGTATCAAATTGCCAAAAGAAAGCTAAGGTTATTTCAAGTATATCATTTAAAATAGTGTTTACAGAGTCTTATATACTTAATTGTTCCACCTGCTTCACTGGAGGAGGTTCCAGTTTTCGGGAAAGTGCAGTTAAAATCTGGCTGAATTTCTCATATCTTTCATTTTGATTGACTTGTGCTCCTTTGCTGCCCCAGAGCAATCTCATTTGAAATTCTGTCTTGAAGATTTCACTCATCTCTTCATCTGGCTGGAAACCTAGTAAGTAAAAAGAATCCCACAATATCCCCATCAGGCAAGTTTTTTATTCAGAAGAAACGGCTTTTAAACTGTATTCCCCCAAAGAAGATAAGCTTTAGTGTGCTGGGTTCCTTTTGCACAATGGTTGTAACAAGCTAGTGAAAGTCCTTTCCACCTGTGACAGCCTAGTAGCACACAAATGGCTCTAGGGACACTGGGACAGGCTAGCCTTTGCTCAGTTCTAATGGTCTAGAATTGTCCTTACAGCCTGACCTTAAATGTAATTCCTGATGTATACATGCTGCCTGCAGAAATACATTTCTCTCCCCTCCCTTAACTTTTTCACTGCAAGTTTAATATGCAAAGTCACACTGTTAACATGTTGCTGCTCTCTGGCTGCAAGCAGTCAAGATCTCAGTGTTGCATCTTACGCTGCTGTAAAGAATCTTACTACGATGTGTGGCGTTTTATTTGCAAAAATCAGAGTAGGAATTTTAAACTGTACAGAAGAGAGGAAGTTCTCGGTCCTTGCTGTGCTTCTATTCGGTTGCTAGAAGGGTCAGCATATTAAGTAAGTTTAGCAAAATGTATGCTCTATTGCTTACTGGAGAAGTATAGTGACGAGTGATTTACTGTCTGCTTTTAAACAATATTGATGTTGTCCTCAGGCCAAGTTTCCTGCAGGACATTTGCTACTATCTCAGCTCCCACAAAAGAGCAGAAGAATTTCTCCCACTAACTTTGTGGCACGTAAGCGGAGACCTTATTCTTCAGACATAACCCACGCATAACCCAGCAGTTTCTCCTCCTCGTGCTCCCTACCTTCCAGCATCCGTTCTGCAGTCAAGCTGTACGTTTCTGCGTTCTGCGCTATCCGACGAGCTGTGGCCAAGTGCTTGAGCATTATTTCACAGCTTTGGTCACTGCTTTCCCACAGGTCCATGCCTTCAAAAATGACAGCTTGTCGCTCCATCAAGGTAACGAGAGGCATCAGCAGTGGCACTGTTACGTTGTTCTGTGGAGCACTGACGGCCTCTGGGAGAGAGAGTAACAAACAAACCGTATCATCAGACATTACAAAACCTGCTGATTGAAGGTGGCATTGTAACTGCAGTATTCTTTTCAAAGCTGGAAACTACTGTTTGTCTTCCATCTTTCAAAGTGGCACCTTACCTCAGGTACACCTGTCCTACCAGTTTCCAGTGAACTGGCTGGGGGGGAAGGCCAAGACAAATTAGTGTTGGAAAACTGTATTTGCTGCAGGAGAAGGCTCTGCTGCATTATTAGACAGCGGCACAGAGATTTGAAGCACATTTAAAATCTGGGTCATTCCAATAGATTCTGTGAGGTTGAAAAGTTTTCCTTCTCTACCTCTTCCTTTAGAGAAATGTTACCTCCCCTTTGGAGACTAGAGCTGCAAAGAATCTGATGCAGGAGCACCTGATGTGATCAGAGGAATGATCTGACTAACCCCTTCTTTGAGGATTCATCCTCCGATCCAATAGGCAAAGCAAATAAAAATCAAAATCTGCCAGAAGTAACTCTCCTGTGAGGAAGGAGGAGATTTTTTTCCTGTCTTTGAGGGAAGATGATGCAGAGTGCTTCAGTTTTAGCTCCACAAAGAGGGGAGTGGGGGTTTGGGCAGAATGTTACATCTGCACGGGTACATGCACACATACTGATGTTCGGCTGGCAGACCCTTTCCTTCTATTTCATTGTTGTCTTCTGCATTACACAAGTTCACGTAGTCATTTTAACACACGATGCACAGCTGTTGAAACAGCAGCTGCCTCATCTCTCCCTCCACAGGAAATCGGTAGTGGGAGAGTTAAAAGGCTCAATAGAAACCAGGGTCGCTCATACTCACTATTCCACTCATCTTGTCCTTCATGCAAAGCTTTGCTAAATGGTTTGAGCTGTTTTTCATACATAATGGCAGTCTGGGTATAACGATGTCTTAGAGAGGTCCAGGTTTGTTCTAACCTAGTGACCTGTTCAAACAAAACAGAGAATACCCGTTACTGACTCATAGCAACTCACAGGAAGAGTACACTGCTAGTGATGAAGTTTCTGTCCTGAAGTGATCTCTCTAGTCTTGGAAGAAATTGCATAAATTAAACTAAATAAACCATCAAACAACTCCATGTTTTGGAACATAAAGATAAACAGATTTTTACCTGTGGCATTTCCAGTGCTTTCATAATGGCAGAAAATGCATATAAATCCCCCAGTGAGTCCTTCAGCTCCACTGCGACTTGGATGATCCTGTTTAATGTTGCTGCTCTATCTTCTAGATTTCCTGTGCAACCCAAGATATCCACAGCTATTCCTATTGCCATGGTATTGTGCCTGTAAGTGAAACAATTTATACTACGGGTTACAAATTTTTAAATTAATACATGTATATATTAATACATTATGTTCTACGTGTGTTCAGAGGAGATCAATTCAAAGGTACATTTCAATATCTTGGTGTGCCCAGCAAACTTACCCTTACCAACATCTTTGTAGCAAGAGCAGTAATGCCATTATATGGAATATATATACATTGGCTTTGAATGTGTGTTTTAATAAATCTAATAAATTTTCCTAAGATATTACTACTACACAAAACTCTGCTCAAGCAATGAATGAACGAACACTTACTGGAAAATTGCCCCAATTCCCTTTGTCCTCCACACTCAAATCCTGGGCCCTTCCCCCTAAATTTCAGCAACCAAACTACTGAAATCTGAATTGGAGAAGCAGAAAGGCTAGGTGAGGGATAGAAGGCCCTGATTGTTCCCCCTTAACTTGTGCAGAGGTTTTACAGAAAGCTTTGCTGATTATTTTTTTTTTTTTACTTTACTAGATCCTCTAGCCTCTTCCCCAGTTGCAGAAGGCTACTGCCTTCAGTCTCTTCCGCAAACACTTACCTGCTCAGCTAGATTATAGGTCCCCTGAACTTTAGTTTACCTGAGCTCTTAAAGGAGAGCTGAGGGTGTTCACCAGCTCTAAGGACCCTGCTTTCAATACAATTCCCCTTTCCCTGTATGACATGCGTGGAGTTGCCCCATGACCTTAAGGAATTTTTCCTATGCAAAAAGAAGTTCTGTGCCACCTCACTAAATTATCTTCTGGGCACATAAATTCAGAAAACGTGCAGGAAATGTAGAGTACAACGTAGCGATGACCTGATCTGGCAATTTGCCTTGGAAATGAGCAACAGGAACATTTACCTTTCAATTAGGTCAAGGCGCAGTTGATGTCCGTAAGGCAAGGTAATCAGTTCAAGACCAGAATTCACTCCCATCATCCTCCTCATCTCTTCAGAAACTTCTAGTATCCTCGCTACCTGTCAAGTGCAAAAATTTGTGCGTGAGTTTTGAAACTAACTTAACTTTTTAAAAAAAAAAACCCTAGCCACATAGAAGTCCTCCAGGTTAGTGCAGGGCATATAGAGCTAAGCGCACAGCATGCAACATTAGAATACAGTCATCTAAGAAAAACTTTAATTAACATAGGCACATTCAGTGCCTTACACAAAAAGACCAACAAATTTTTTTTTTTGCATGATTCAACCATCAGAAAACATATAAAAGGTGTGACCAAAATGCTTTATCAAACTTCCATCCTCCACTTCCAGAAAGATTCATCTGCAAGCTCCA